CTATTTAAATTTGACCTTGTCTTCACAGCAAGTTTCAGTTGACTGTGCAGTGTGGTCATGTCCCAACCATGATCTGGGATGCTAAACCAGTCCACCCTCATCAGCAAGCATTTCTGCCTAGTTGCTCAATGTTCACTAGTACTTCAGTGCTGCATCAAACCAGCGAATCCCTAGGATCCTTTGGTATTATCACAGAGAGTCAAGTAGAAAACAGTGAGTGTTGAACCTGGCAGTGAACTGGGAGGAATCTGAATGCTGGAGTTTAATTGACCTGAGTCTGAATATCCTTGTCCTCTTGTACTAGCTGTGTGTTTCTTTCCAGTTTATCCCACTCACCCAAACTCATATTCCTCACTGTCCCTTGAAAAATTATCAGAGGGAAGTGAGAAAAGTATATTTTGTAGAAGTCTTCATTCATATGGGAGGGATGAAACAGTTTCTCTTCTCCTGGTATTTTCTCCCAAGCCTGGGACAGGGATAGGCTCAGTTGGGTTTCCAGATGTTTTTTCCTGTGTAGTTCCATGTTGCCCTTCCCTCAGGGCATGGTGATCTATCTTGTTTAATGGGCTAAACACTGTCTCCCTATCAGAACAAGCTTCTCCTTTATTTGAACATTTTCAATGTCCTATTTATTTTATTGCCACAGAATTTTTCCTGTATTTTGATTGTAGCAGAATTCTGATCTATTAAATGTTTTCTAGGGCAATAACTGGACCCATGGTCACCTCCGCAAGACACTGATCAGATGCCCCAATTGTCATTGTCTGAAGGCCCAATATGAGGCTCCCTAGGCATGGGAGGAGATGTCTTTTCCTCTCCTGTGCAGGGGACCTGCCCCACTCACCTGAATTCCCAGACTACAGTGAAGGCAGCAGAGGACAAAGATAACCTAGCCTTTAAATCAGGATGTTTATCACAAGATGATGTCCTCTGAGTGTCTCAGCTATTTCCCCTCCTGTGTTAGGTCTAGTTGGAATGAATGCTTTATCCAGTGCAGTGCCTGGAACTTTGTCCTGCATACAGATGGCAGCTTTATGCATATTCACTGCCTCTCAAAGACATATAAATTATCAGATGTGCTTCAATAGTCACTGCTTCATTTCTAATTGATTTTTTGGAATGTATATAAATATTTATTTTGTGTTTTAATATGAAAACATAAATACATATTTTAAACACATTCAACATAAATTAAGTCATATTATTATTATTATTATTGTGTGTGTGCATGTGTGTGTGGTACTGGTAATTGAACTCAGGACCTTGCACTTGCAAGTCAGGAGCATTGACATTGAGCTAAATCCCTAGTCCTGAGTCATATTATTCTATATGAAACTGGTCATATTATTGTTTAATCCTCCCACTTATGTTCCCATTCTCACAGTATTTTGTCATTTGATTTTGAAGTACTTTCTGGAGATCATGGGGTTCCTTCTACTCTGTCACATTATTTCCCTTAGCTACTGCATAAAGACATGGACATTTTTGCAGCATAGTAGGTTTTCTTTCCTCCAAACTGCAGAAAAAGACATGGACATTGGCAGTGACTGAGATGGTGGTGTCTCTGGAAACCAGCAGTAAGAGAAGAGATCTCTGTTTGTGTGTCCTGCTGCTTCGAGTTCCGTTTCATTCCTCACAGCTGTCAATCAAGTAAACAGGTTGAGAGTGTTTCACAGATTCATTAGCCACATAATTCTTCCAAGCTGGAAATTGCTATGTGGCCCTCTATCTGATAGGGAGGCCATTGAATTTTATGATCACTATGGTTATAAAGGTGTGCATTTTTCAGTTTTGGTGCAGAAAGTTGCATTTCGTGCTTCTCCTCATAGTTGAGGCAGATTGGGGTGAGATCATTAAAGATGAATAGTAGTCCTGTATCCTTGTTCTTGAAAAGATGATTGAATCTTATATCTTCATACCCTTTTTGCAGAGGAGGTGGTTGCTCTTAGACCTTCCCTTCTGAAACTGTCTCTCTTCAGTTTCCTGCTCCTTCAAGCTCTCAGTACTCCTTATGTCCATATATGAAATCATGTCTTTTGTATTTGAATCATATTTGCACCTTGTGGGTGACTCTTGGCTTAGATCCTGGCACTTGTGTCATGATCCCGACCTTCAGAATTGTCAAAAATTATTTGTGATCATAGGTCCTCTGTAAGAACAGAGAAAAATAATGCCCATTGCAACTTCTGTTGAACAGTAAATCCACACGTACCTTCTATGTGGTAACTGCTACCCTGGAAATAAGATGAAAACAGTGTGACAGACATAGTTCAAAGTCCAAACATGCCTGCACTGAGGAAGGACAGTTTGAGGTGCACCACAGATGATTATAGGTTGGATTTATTGCCGTTAAAGATGGTGCTGGTAATAACAGACACGGGAGTAAGTGGGAAATTAAAAGACTTTTTTTTTGTTTGTTTGTTTTTGTTTTTAACACAGAGCCCCAGGGCACTGTGCTGAGAAAGCCCAGAGAGGAAATTGGATGGGATTCCTTTCACAGTGCTCAGCCATCCAGGCACTGAGACGCTCCCATAGCCATGATGCAATAGTGCTAGAGGCTTGAGTAGAACTTGGTGTCACCCAGGTGTGGTTGGTTTTATGTGCATGAAGAATGGAAGATTTATGTGTCATGGAGGCTTCCACATAGATTTCAGAAGAAGACCTGTAATGACTGGCTGTGTGCATCTTAGAGGAAGATGCATGTAGGTGTAAGAGTGAATCTAAATTTTAGTGGAGATAAAAGAATCTGGAGAATCCCCAAAAGTGGAATATCTGAGGGAGCTACAAGAATTGACAAAGCCAGCCCTAGATAAAATGCACAAGAATAACAACTACCAGAAGTTCTGTAGACATGGGACTGCTCAAGGAATTTGGAGCTTGTATCTTGACATCTCTTGCCCTGAGTGCTAGACTTGGAGCTAAAGAACTTACTGTTTTCCCTGCTTGGCATACGCTGGTTTTGGTTTCATTTGGCCTAATGTTCTAGCCCTTGTTATTGGAATGAGAGTATTTCCACTGCATGCTCTTTTGTCTGCAATATTTAACATTATGTTTTACTTCACAGGGACTAAGAGCTAAGAATTTGCTGCCCAGTGTGGTGGCACATGCCTGCATTCCCAATCTTCTTTTATTCCCCTGCTGAACAGATTCATTCTACTTTCTATTTCTCTGTGGCTCATGAGTGCCATTTTTCTTATTCTTTTGGTCTTTTTGTTTCCCTCTCTCTCTACTGTCCCCATTCTCAAAAACAGATTAACCGAAAAACAGAAGGAAACCAAACCAAAAAATAGATCAACTAGACAAAAAAATCAACAAAAATATCACTAACCCGAACCTTCAAACAAACGGGGATGATAAACACTACAGTGTACCACCCAACAGGCACAGAATACATATTCTTCTCAGCAGCACATGGAATTTTCTCTAAAGTAGATCATACGCTGTCCTATAAAGCAAGACTAAGTAAATGCAAAAGCATCAAAATTATACCATGCATATATTCAGATCAGATTGCAATGAAACTACAAATCAATGGCAAAAACATTACAGAAATTATTAAAACACATAAAAATTAAACAATACCCTCTTGGATAATAAATTCATCAGAGAAGAAATCAAGAAAGAGATTAGTTCATAAAATTCAACAATCAATCCAGTACAACATACCACAACCTATGGGACACAGTGAAAACCAGTCATGAGAGAGAAGTGTATGGCTGTGAATGCTTACATCAGACACAAGGGTGAGCCCTAACAAAAAAACCTAATAATGTGTTTCATATCTCCTAGAAAAACAAGAAAAATCCAAACCCAGTGGTAGTATTAGGAAGGAAATTATAAGGAACAAAGCAGAAATTCATGAAATTGGGTATAAAAATACAATGAATCAATGAATCAAATAGCTGGTTCTTTAAAAAAATAAATAAAAGAGACAAACATCTAGCCAGTCTTGCCAAAAAGAGGAAAGTAAAGACCCAAACTACAGCCATTAGAATTGAAAATGGCAAAATCACAGCAGGCTCTGCTGAACTCAAATGACCATAAGTAACTAATGGTCTCTAATAAAATGGAGAATTCATAAGAAATAGATAGATTCCTAAATATATATGAACTACCAAAGCTGAACCAAAAATATATAAAAATTCTGAATCATGCAATATCAGACAATAAAATTGAAGAGGGAATTAAGAAAAAAAAATCAACCAAGAAACACAGGTCCCAATGGGAGTGATCTAATGCCAGTACTCGTCAAACACTTTCATGAAAGTAAAAGGTATTTCCAAAGACATTCCTGTGAGCTGGCATTACCATGATTCCAAATGAAGATGGTCCCAGCCTAAAAACAGACTTACAGGCCATTCTCTCTAATGCATATTAACACAAATGTCTCAACAAAATACTGGCAAACACTACAAGAAATTGACAAAAATGTACATCATGAACAAGGCTCATTCCAGGGGTACAGGGAGATTGTTCAACATATACAAAGCAATAAAAGTAATAGAAAACATAAAAATAAGAACAAACCACATGACCATCTCAATGGATGGCGAAAAAGCATTTGACAAAAAATAACATGCATTCGTGATATAAAAAAAAATCACTGAAGCAAATACTTGTAGAAGGACCTCATCTCAAACTGACAAAAGCCAGTTTAGGACAAAACAACAATCACCATAATATTAAGGGAGAAGAAGCAGAAAGCTTTGCCTCTAAAATAGGAACAAGATAAGTGGTCCACTAACACCAGTCCTTTGCACTATAGTTCTTGAAACGTTATGCAGAGAACTCAGGCAAGAGAAAGAAATAAAAATAATATACAGGAAAGGAAGAAGTGCCACGTGGACAGGTGCATCTATGTACTGAGAAGGCCTCGTGAGCATGCGCCACATGCGCAGAGGCAGTTAGGCATGGTGAGCATGCACCACAGGGTCAGAGGCAGTTAGGCCTGGTGAGCATGCGCCACAGGCTCAGAGGCACTTCGTCCTTTTGCTTGGTAACAGAGGTTCCACCCAGGTGGAAGCCAGCCGCAGAGCCTAGCAGTTGTTCTACAAGCTCAGTTGGCTAAACTTTTCGTTGGAGAAAGGCTGAACGGGAGGGCTAGGATGCCGATAGCCTCAGCCATTAGGAGGCTATTTGGCCTCAGTAGTAGGGGCCGGGTGCCCTCAGACCCCTCAGGCCTAGAAGGCAGTTGTGGGGATCCGCAGCACAGAGCCCGCCCCAAGGCCGTGGGCAAGCTACACAAGGCCGCCAGTGTGGGCGACACGGTGAAAGTGGAGCAGCGCCTCATGCTGAGGAAAAGTGGTGTCAATGACAGAGACAAGAAGCACAGGCAATGGGGCTTCAGGGGAGGGTGTGCAGGTGGGGTTGGGAAAGTGCAGGAGTAGTGGCAGGTCCAAGGTTTGAGGGCTGGACAGGGTGAGGAAGGGGAGACGCAGGCAGGGGGAGGGCCAGAGAGCGTGAGGAGGGGATGAGGAGGGGGGACAGGTTAGAGGGGGGTCTATCCCCAGGCAGCTAAATATTTATGAGCAGCAAAATAAAATCAATCAGCAGTTATAGATCACTTTATTAACTACTTCAAAGAAATTTAACCACAGGAACAAACGTGTGTATAGGATTTTATTCTTAAAATCACATTAAGATAACTGTTTCACACATTTTAAAAGAATACACTGAAATGTTTCCCAAATATATCAATATTTTATATATAACACATAATGTTAATACATCATATAAAATAATGCATATTGTATATATTATATTTAATATAATATATAATATATTAATATTATATTGATCATATTATATTTATTTTGTTAATCATGCATTATATTATGTATTATTATTAATATTGATATATAATGTGTAATACAATAATATATAATATGCATTTAATATAATGTACGGTATAAGATACATTGTATAACATGTGCATAATTTATATATAATACATTATAAAATGTATTAATATATAATATATTATATCATTATATAATGTATTAATATATAATACAATATATAATATATGATGTACAATATAGAATATATTTATATAATATTTATAATATCTATATTTATTATGTTTTATATTAGTACATTATATAATAATATAATGTACATTATATATATCACATTACATATATTAATACATTATAAAATGATATAGTATATTATATAAATTCAGAGCTAGAACTTATTTGAATAAAATTTAGTATCTACTTTCTATCAGCCCTCACCTGTGCACATATGTTCTTTACTGAAGAATGTTACACGGAAACTGAAATGGAAACACGGCTCCATGTTCTTGAGTAGAAATATTTTATAGTCCCAAAATGTAAACTTTCTGTTCATCCGTTTTCTATAAACCCAATAAAACTGTCACCTAACACTTGACTTCACACACCCACTTTTGCTATTTTGTCACTAAGAAAATGTAGTGAAGTTCTGCCTTGCTGGGTATCAAAACAAATTGTTTGCTAATATCCCAAAAGACAGATAAATGAATGTAACTTATTAGAAATTCCAGAAACACTCAAGTATCTGTAAGAATTAGGAACTGGATACTGGCGACATCCATATGAGTTGGAAAACCAGAGTTACCCATGAATGAAATGCCTATTAACTGTTTGAAAATTATGAGCTAGAAATTTTTTTTCACAAAAGTTCCTGGAGTATAGGTTACATTTTAGAAATAATACAGTATGAGAAAGGTACCAAAAGAAAACCCAAATGCCTATTTGTGCCTTCCTGAGAATGACCTCAAAAGCAAGCACTCTTTCTTTTTTTGTGCTGGGGGTTGTGCTCAGAGCCTGGTGCATGCTAAACACACAACCTGCATAGAAACAGGCATTCTGAAGTTTGACAATCAAAAGAAAAATTAAACTCTCCCTTATTTTAGAGAAAAGTTAACAAAATGAAAGACAACATACGTGCAAAAGATGTACAACATATATTAGATGCAAAATGTTTCTTCCTTTTGCAGAAATATTTTTCACCTCACCAAGGGAAAAATACTGAATTCTTATTTATTTATTTTGAAGGTGGGGATCACCAGTAAGCTACACTGAACTCTAAATTGGGTAAAGTATTCTTGTGCAGATCTACAAGTGACCTATAAACATAGAAAAAAATACAGAGAGTCCCTGGTAAAGGGAATTTAATTTTAAAAAGGAATGAAATGCTGTTCCACATTTTAGAAGAAAATTAACTATTTGTGTTGAAGGCTATTTAATGTTCACGATTACAAGAATAATGGTGCATTTCGAAATAGAGCTCTGTAATTTCCTAAGAATCTTTCTCACTATCATAGGACTGCTTTGCATTTTGCCTGTGTCTATGGCCATCCAGAAGTGGTGACTCTTCTGGTGGAGAAAAAATGTGACATCGACGCCCATGATAGGGAAAACAGTACTGCCCTGATTAAGGTGGGTAGCAGGCATGTGACAGGGAAAACAGTAACGCCCTGATTAAGGTGGGTAGCAGGCACCAATTTCAGCATGAGATGGATTGCATTTAATTGCTGAAATAAAATTTAATTGATGTAATTTAATATCACTACTTGGTGAGGCATGAGGAAGGTCCCTTTTGAGTTCCTGGAGTTGACATTCTCTTCTTACAATACCCACAGGCTGTACAATACCACCAGGAAGAGTGTGCAACTATTCTCTTGGAACAGGGTGCCAATCCGAATGTTTCAGATGCCAGCGGCAACACTGCTCTCCACTATGCAGTCTATTATGAAAACTCATCGATAGTGGCTAAACTGCTTTCACACCATGCAGATACTGAGGCCAAAAATAAGGTATAGATCAGCCAATTTCTTTTCCAAGGTATTTGAAGTAGATGCATGTTAACAGTGACATATAGGTAGGGTCAGTTTTTCATAAGCTCAAGCATTCCATGAATAAAAACTATATTTAAAATAATTTAATAGTTAAATATTTCACTTTAAATGTTGATAGTGTTAAAGAAACACTAGAGGATACAGGTTGCTTTTACGAAGTTATGGAAATATTTGTGAAAACACTAAAATTTTAAGAAGTAAATCTTTTCTTTTTCCTGATATTATTTCTATCAAAGTATTTTTTCCTCCCTTAGTGTAAAACAACACAAGACAGCAAAATTTGCCTTGGAAATAGGCTTTATTTTAAAATTTAAACAGAACAACCTCATCTCATAATAAGTGGAAATCTTGTTGCTGCTGACAAGTCATAAAAGTGATTCATTTTTTAGTGGTCTCACTTAAATGGGAAAACTGGAAAGGGAAAGTGATTAGAAATATGCAGGTCGGTGGGGGTTATCATTTTTTCATTTTGTTTTTTGTACTGGGGGTTGAACTCTGGACCTTGTGCTTGCAAGGCAGGTGCAGTACCACCGAGCTAAATCTCTTGCCCCTTGTTTGTTTTCTTGTTTTTGGAAAAAATATTTTTCTGGTCTCTATATATAGACAGGATGCTCTTTGTATGTTTTTGTTTCTCTGTTTGTTTGTTTTTATTTGAACCAAAACATTTATTGGTAGATTTTATATATAAAATGATAACACTCACCACTGGGAAATTTGCACCTGTGCATGTTATATCCTGCCTCTTGTTTTTTCCATTGTTCCTTCCCTTTGACCCCCTCCCCTCCCTATATACAAACGCTTTGTTTCTGTGTTCACTTTTTTGCTTGTCCCATCCTTCCTATCCCCTTCCCTCTCCTTTGTGCCCTTCCCATTTGAACATTTTCTTACCATTTCTCAATGTCTATTATATATTTTAGTCTTTATTTCCCCTTTTAGTTTCTGACACCAGAGAATCAATGCAGTATTTAAACAATGTGTGTCTGATTTTCAGTTTTGAGAATAGTTTTTTTTTCCAATACTGGAGATTGAACCCAGGGTCTTCACACTGAGCTACATCTGCAGCTCTTTTATGTTATATTTTATTTTGAGACAGGGGCTCACTTTGTTGCCCAAGCTGGGCTTGAACTTTTAGTCTTCCTGCCTCAGCCTCCCACAGTGCAGGGATTACAGGCATGCACCGCTGTACCTCGCTTAGGAATAAAAATTCTTAGTTTAGAAAGTTGTATATTTGCAAAGTTGCAATTTTAGGAGAGCTCCGATGAAGCCAGATTGGCATTGGCTGGATGGTGCTTAGATGGTAAGCATCAAGAGGAAATGAACAAATAATTAGCAGACATTCTCTCTGTTTCAGGCACAAACAGCAACTGATATAACAATCTAAATTCTGCTTTCAAACCTATAATGTTTTGCTGGGACCTGGGCGATGAGGGGCTTGCATAATGCATTTTGAATTTTCTAGTCTGGTCCTGCCCCTACCTAACAGGATTAAATGGAGCTTTTCGGGAGTAACTTTCTCTTACTTTCCCTCCTTTTGACCAAATCCCCAAATGGTAAAAAGAATCGACCTTGTAGATGAGAGATGAGACCAAAGTGACCTTCTAGGTTCTCTAGTTTTTATCTAGACTTGCACTTCTCAGAGGTCTGGGGAAAGTTTTGAAAATGTATGAGTTGAGACTGGCCCCTGAGATTTTGATTCAGTAAATCTAGTAAGGTCTGGACATGGATATTTAAAACTATTTCCTCAAGCCTCTGATATAGCTCAGAACCATTTAATAAGCAAGTATAATGATGAATTCCCAAATCTCAGGAACTTAAGAAATCTGTGGAAGTTTGATTAAATACCACTTTCGTCCAGTCTTTTCTTTCCAACATATTAGCTCAGCTTTCATTTGTCTTTCTCCACCTCTGTCAATGGAAGTTAGGAGGAGTATCATTGGTGCTGTTGCTGTGCAGAATACCACCACTTTCCCTCCAACCTTCAGTCACTGACGGCTGTTGAGAAGCTCTGCAGAAGTTCAGTTATGGTTAGGCTGAGGCTGAATCTTTAAGAGTTTTACATCTCATTATTATCATTCAGAGGATGAGGTCAACAAATGTTGATTATTTTCAGAATTCTCTGAACTGAATAGTGGCAACCATGAGCCTGTTTTTAGTTGAAGGCATGTGGTAGACATCTCAATGTTTTAAGTTCACTGAGCCCTGGCAGAAATCAGTGAAGTTAGTTAGAAAGTAGATGAGAATGCTTTTTGAGCATTTTTATTAATTTCATGTGTGTGGTACTGAGGATTGAACCTAGGGTCTTCCAACTGAGCTACCTCCCCAGCATTCAGCACTCCTCACCCCTTTTGAAAATTTGAGACCAGGCCTTATTAAGTTGGATCCTCCTGCCTGGCCTCACAGAGTGATGAGGTTAAAGGTGTGAGCCGCTGTGCCCAGCTGGACGTTTTTTGGATAATTTAGTTTGAGTACTCCTATGAAACTATTTATTTAATTAACAGTTGGGGAGGATTGCATAGAAATGGAGAATAAATTAAAGTGTTCAAAAACTATTAAAATAGGCATAATGAATCTTTTTCATTACATCATGGGACCTCACTTTTTTTTAACAGGGAATCCAACTCAAGTCCTTGCTTTTGCCAGGCATGCATGGTGCCACTGAGCTTAATCCCAGCCCCTTGATTTCACTTTTCAGTAAAACAAGATGTTAAAGGAAGGATTTTACATGCACACATTTGCTTTTTACACAATCATTTGGAAGCACACACACAGCAAAGATATGAGCAAAAGTCTATGGACTGAATGTGGCTCTTAGCTGTGTTCAGCTTGCCTCCATACAGTGAGTCCACTTTGAAATTTCAGGAAACTCCACCAGAATTGGGGGTTTCAAGATTCTCGAAAAGAAGAGAACTAGTCTCTTGGGAGCCCGTGTGACTCTTGGGGTGTGCCCCCTGTATCTGAAGTTCTCGTGTCTTCTCCAGTTTGCTATTGACCCACCTCTGTATTTTCTCCTATCCACTACTCTGCCTTCATGACTTTCAGTTCTTGATTTATGGTATCTTGTAATAAAGAGTAAGGAGTTTCATATATTTTGTATGAATTCATAAGAATGTTATCGGTATTTTATGGTACCATCTTAGAAAGGGAATTGAATTTAGAAGTTGTTCTGACAAGTTTTCATGTTCCTTTTGGAATGTCAGAAAGCATTATTAGGTTAATTCTAATTCCAATTGAATAAGTTATGCCTATTACCACCAATATTATATCTTTCTCTTCGGCATTATCCCTTGAAAATACAAGTGACTTAGTGGCTTTCATTATGATAAAACCAATCCTTATTGGGCAGTATTAGACTTTTAATTGCTAAACCATCGTGGTTTTACCTCTGATTCATATATATGCATATATATACATATATATGTATATATACATATATATGTATATATATATATTTTTTTTTTTGCTTAAAACTAAGAGATAGCCTTAGCAATTAGAATGGGAACAGAATGAAAATGTATTAAAAAGAGTACATAGGCATATGGATCTCAGGATTATCATAATCAGTGAGAATCAAAGTTTTGTACTGAGCCTTTTCTCAGCTAAGATAAAATTTTCATCTAATAATAGGAGAAAAACCCATAGACAGTTTAGTAATAAGCAGTCAGAGTTCATTTGGAGCCTATTTCACAAATGAGTGACCATGTCCTGTGGACTCGATTGGAGCAGGATTTGTTGACATCTGTATTTGAATCCTGACACCATACATAGAATCCAGCAGGTTTCCTCCATAACCCAGAAGAAACTTCCATGTTATGGGAAAGCCCTCAACACTGTATCCCTAAAACCCTTAATTCCTCAGGTGTTGATATTTGACAGAAAGTATTGTCCAATAGGAATAAAGCAAAATTAAAGATATTTTAATACTGAATAAATAGTGCAGTTTTATAATAATCTCTCAAACAGATGATTAGTGAATCTGTTGAGGCAAAAAACATGGAAAATTATTCTTTGGAGGATAGACTGAGAAATCCTGCACTAGAGATTATTTAGCTCATCAATTCAATAAAAATACTTAAATCTTTTACTACTATGCTTTAGGAATTGGGACTACTGAGATAAAAGATATATCCCCTGCCCTCAAGATGCTTTTGATTCAGGTGGGAGCCATCACATAACTCAAAGTACCATAATGAATCTGTGACAGAAGGAAAGATCCTTGGAATCAGTGAAGTCTGAGGCGAGTTTTGACCTGAGTTCATGTAGCAACTACTAGGCAGAGAGTGCATTTCAGGAACCGCACATGTGGAAGCATTAACGAGGAGGAAGAGGCTGCTGTGCATTTATTCCTTATACAGTGGACCTGCAAGTTATGGCTGGCCTGACTTATGAACAACTTGGGTTAATGAGGTTAATGGAAGATTTATCTGTCTCTTGTTATCTATAGCGTGTACCGAGGTAAACACCCACATCTCAGCAGTAATGACATAGTTACGACCAGCCCTCGGAACTAATTGAGTTTATAAGTCAAGTGTCTACTGTATTAGGTTAGAGCAGTGGGAACGTTTTCCAGGTTTTAAGTTCAGTTAAGAAATAGACAACTGTGTGGATAATAACTTTTTTCATTCACAGGATGACCTCACACCAAATTTGCTTGCTGTAAGGGAAAACAAGCAGCAAGTGGCAGAACTGCTTATAAAGAAGAAAGAAAATACTCATGCTCTGGATGAGCCAGGAAGGTATAGTTGTTCTTTTATAAAAATAAGACTTTAGTGGTGTTCTAGAGTAGTAAAAAGTCCAATAGTTTACAGTCAAATAAATCAATAGGAAAAAGGCTGAGTTACAATTGTTGGGATAAAATGAAAGCTATCAACACAAACCATCAGAAAGCAATTATTTGGATTGGACAGCACAAAGAACACTATAGGAGGATTCAAGATCTGTTATGTAGTAATATCGACTGATATTTGCTGTTTTATATGAAGAAATAAATTTTATTACAAAGTAATAAGAAAAACTAGTCAATATGCTGTGTATCATTATCTTCAAAGTACTTCCTCAGAGTACAAGATATAAACCAAACAGATTCTTACAAAAAAGAGCTTTTTTACCAGTGATCTAAGATAAACTAGTTATATAAATGAAACAAATTAGTATCTATATTAAAGTGTTTTTGAAACAATGAAACAGATATTTTGCGGAAGTATTTGCGCTCCCTACTTTCTATTTTGTAAGTCTATATGCACATATATATGTATGTAAGTCATCATATAAGAGAATATTTGAGCTTCTGTGTTAGACTTATTTCACCAAACATGATAGTCTCAAATTGCATCCATTAATCTATGAATGCCTCAAGTTTCCCTTTATGGCAGTGTGGTCCTTCATTGTATATAAATACCATTTTCCTGTAGACATGTACACTGTTTCTAAATTGTAGCTATTATAAATTGTGCTGCTGTAAGCATGGATACGCATGTATCCCTGTACTATGATTTTAAGTCTGGGAAGATATCTAGAAGGAGCATAGCTGCAACAAATGGAATTGCTAAATTTTAGTGTTTTAAGGGATTTCCATACTGATTTCCCTAGTGGTTGTACTAGTTGATATTCCCACCAACAATGTAGAAAAGTTCCTCTCCTTTCCCTAATCTCATCACCATTTATAAATAGATTTTTAATGACAACCATTATTTTTGAGGTAAAATGGTATTTGCAGTGTGGTTTTAATTTGCATTTGTCTGATGACCAACAATTGTGTGCATCTTTTCATGTATGTATTGGCCATTTGTCCTTCTGAGAAGTATCTTTTCATTTTGGTTACCCATTTTTCATCTGTGTCTTTTATTTGAGGAGGTCTAATATTTTTGAGTTCTTTTAATGACAACCATTATTTTTGAGGTAAAATGGTATTTGCAGTGTGGTTTTAATTTGCATTTGTCTGATGACCAACAATTGTGTGCATCTTTTCATGTATGTATTGGCCATTTGTCCTTCTGAGAAGTATCTTTTCATTTTGGTTACCCATTTTTCATCTGTGTCTTTTATTTGAGGAGGTCTAATATTTTTGAGTTCTTTATATATTCTTCTTTTTTTGGGGGGGGTTTGACTGGCCTCAAACTCACAGGGACCCTCCTGCCACAGCCTCCTCAGTGTTGGGATTACAGGCGTGTGCCACCACACTGTGCTTCTTTATATATTCTTGATGTTAGTTTTCTGCCTGTGAAATACAAGGTAAAAATTGTTTCCCATTCTGAAGGTTGTCTCTTCACTCTTCACTGGCTGTTTCCTTTGCAGTACAGAAGCTTTTTAATTTTATATGATCGCATTTGTTGTTTCTGTATAT